ACACCTCGAACTACAGTGAGGAAGCAGAAAACTATCTATTCTTCTTTACTTACTTATTTGGCTATGTTTGGCTTACTGTGTAAGATTATCAACAATCTATTGCCACAACCACATAAACAGTTTGTAACAAAATATACACACTTTATTACTTACCCCTTGGTAGTACTGGTTTGGTCCCCTTTTTTCATCATTCATGGCATGACTTCAGAAGGTACCAAACATTCATCAGAGATTTTGGTTCATGTTGACATGACGGCATCATGCAGTTGCTGCAGATTTGTCAGCTAACTGATTGGAATCTCCTGTTCTACCACATCCCAGATGTGCTCTATTGGACAACCATCAACAGCCTGAACTGCTGATACAGAATAGGATGGATTTATTCTTTCATGTTGAAATTTGGACCTTTCCATCTGAATGTCCCAGCAGAATCAAGACTCATCAGACCAGGAAACATTTTCCAATCTTCTATGGTCCAGTTCTGGTGAGCACATATGAATTGTAGCCTCAGTTTCCCATCTGGTCTTCTGTTGCTGGAGCCCATCTAGGTTCAATGTGTTGTGCATTCAGAGATGCATACCCTCATGTAACAAGTGGTTATTTGACTTACTGTTGTTGTTCTGTCAGCCTGAAATAATCTGACCATTCTCCTGTGACCTCTGGCAGTGCAGAGAGCAGCTCTAACATCTTTACAATAACACATATAAATCCACATCTTTATTCCTATTTGCTAACACATTTGAAATCTCAGTAATTTAATTTAAACATTACCACCTTTGACTTTTATAAAAATCATATTTCTCAGTCCATTTTCCTAATGTGAGCTCAGTACACAGCGACCTCATGTATAAGAAAATCAAGTCCAAATATAAAGGTGCAGATTTGGTGGATTTGTCTACTGAGACTGATAGGAGAAGGCACCTAGTCCATCTGATATACACAAAATCACGACTGGCAAATGTTTTAGACAGGAAGTTTTCATTATTTTTCCTCAACACTCCAAATCGAACTCAAAAACCATGATAATCAAATGTCACGGCTCTCGGCTTCCTGCGAGAATACCCTCAGGCTTAATTATTCATTAAGAAGGCAATGATAGCAGAGTAATTGGCCACAACAAAGATGTGTGAAATTTTAACCGAAGCACATATATTTCCCGAAGCGGTGGAGGGTTTGCATTCTCCACAATCCTCACCTGAGCAAATGAGGCAGCAGAGATGAAACTAACAAGATCCACCGCTCAGGATTTTCACCTTTTCACCTGAAAATATCCAAACATTCACACACCATCCATAAAGGAAGAGACTGAGTGTTATGTAAAAATTAGATTACAACTGAGTGTGAATAAGTGACCACTCATTTCTTTGTCTCCTTTCCCTTCCGTCAATAAGAGCAAAATAGGAAACACAAACAGATACATGATCGATGAAACAGAGAGCAGGGGGGGGGGGGGGGGG